CCATTTCTGCTTTCTCAGCAAGTTCCTGTTTAAACATCCTCTTACACAATACCCTTGCTTACATTAAAAGCCATATATAAACTAAGATAAACAATGCTATCCTGTTAACTCTTTATGTGTCAGTCCCCTTTATCAGATGAGCTACTGAGACCTTGTCAAAACGGGCTCAGAGGAACATAAGGCATCTGTCTTGGCTGCAGCCCTTGCTTAGCAGCTTACGGTGGGCAGAGAGGGTTTGAAGTATTTTGAATGTAGTAAAGAGGGTTATCTTAGAAAAGAATGTCCGATCGGGGGAGGGGGCGGTCAGAAAAGAAACAGTAGGCGTCCCGGGCCTGAGAAAGGGACCGGCAGCTGCAGAAAGCTGCCCTCGAGCGCCGGCACCGCCCGCCCGGCCGCCGCCGCGGGCCTTTTTTAACACCCACCTTGTACTATTCCCTCTGGTCAGTCAGTGGCGCAGCTTTTGTTATTGCCATTCTCTGTCTCCGCTGCTGCTGATCGCAACCGAGGATAAGGGATTTCTGGGGGTACTGGTAACCCACAGATATTTTGGATACCGAAAAAAACATCTGGAAAATGGCGTTTGTTACAAGATCTTAGGGCAGTAAATGCTATCATGCAGCCAGTGGGGGCCTTACAACCTGGAATTCCAAATCATTCTATGATTCCTGCAGAGTGGCCTTTATATGTGATTGATCTCAAGGATTGCTTTTTTACCATATTGTTGCATCCTGGTGACTGTGCACATTTTACCTTTTCAGTGCCTTCCATTAACAACCAAGGGCCCATGCAAAGTACCAGTGGGTGTTACTGCCACAAGGAATGATGAACAGCCTCACCATATGTCAGATTGTGGTGGACAGTGCCATTTCTCCCATTAGAGCAGAATTTCCACAAGTAACAATTGATCATTATATGGAGGATATACTGTTAGCTGCTGAACAGCAGGCAGATTTGTTACAGGCGCTGACTCAGCCAAAACACTCTCTGGCAACTTATGGTTTGCAAATTGCGCCTGAAAAAATCCAAGAGGAAGCTCCCTGGAAATATTTGGGTTGGCGGCTGTATGCAGGTACAGTTTTCCCTCAACATCTCCGTATTGCTACCTCCATAAATAATTTACCCAATCTGCAGAAGTTGTTAGGGACCATCAATTGGATTAGACCATTATTGGGAATCACTCCAGAGGAATTATCTCCACTTTTTTAGCTCTTAAAAGGTGAGGCTGACTTGATGTCATCTCGGCGCCTCACACCTGAGGTGAAACAATCATTAGACTATGTGACTGACAAAATTGCATCTTATGCACACAGGTTGCAATCTGCTTTGTCCATCTCTCTGTGATTTATAGTTCTTTCTAACCGTATGGACTGATTGGACAATGGAGAGAGACAGACATGAATCTCTTTGTCTTGGAATGGGTGTTTCTGTTGCATGCTTTTACCAAGACAGTGCCTACTGCATCGAACATGGTCATCAATGTGATTTCCCAGGGCAGATTGAGAATTCAGCAACTGTCAGGAAAGGATCCTGATTGTATTTATTTCCCGTTCACTAAGGAGGTCTTTGACACATTGTTACATGAATCCCTGTCATTGCAAGCTGCCCTCGCTGATTATTTAAACATTTAAATTTTTATCTCCCACGGCACAAGTTGCTTCATTCTTTGTCAGATCTGCCTTTGCAGACACATATATTGGCATCTGTGATACCACTGGAAGGTGCCCATACAGTGTTTGTTGATGGCTCAAGGTGAGTGGATGGCAATTGGCTTAATAAGAGTTCTAATTTGTTATGTATTTACTTTTCTCGCCTTTCGGCCATGGCTAGTAACCTGTTGAGCCTCTGTTTTCAGTTTTTAGATCTAGATCTCAATTTTCAGGGAGGACCTCTGTTCTTAAAGCAGTATAACCTGCATCTGCAGTCTTTTATGGTGGCAGGGACTCTTTGATCTCCTTTTGCATGAGAGATAAACAAGCTCTTAGGATAGCACAGACAATTCCTTTACCCTTTCCCCCTTCTTCACTTTTACTCACTCCAACACTGTTCTATTTACTGTACCATTTTTTCCTCACTTTTCCAGTATTTTTGGGCCCATTCTATTCTTGCTTGAGATGGTGCGCATTTATATTGAGCAGTTTATCCATGGTTATCCTGTCTGTGATGTCAATTTACTGTTTGAATTATTTGTACAGTTAGCAAAGACCCTGAAGAGCCGCAAACATCCTTATTTTATCATGCATATTTGGTCTCATTCTTCTCTGCCTGGACCAATAGCAGAGGGCAATCATGTTGCAGACAATCTCACTATGGCAGTTTCAACCTCTCAAGTCTTTGAGTGAGCATGTCTGTCTCATGATTTCTTTCATCAGAATGCTAGTTCCCTTCACAAAATGTTTGGCCTTACTATGGGACAGGCTAAGGACATTGTATTGTGCCTGTGCGGATTGTCAACAGCTAACTCGTGTCTCTTACTGAAGGTGTGAACCCTAGGGGATTACATGCCAATGAACCATGGCAAACTGATGTCACACATTTTCCCGCTTTCGGTCGTCAGAAGCACGTGCGTTCATGTTACAGTAGACACCTTTTGTGTGTCTGTGGCTGCTACTGCAGCCACCAGAGAAAAATCTCGGGATGTCTGAAAGCATTGGCTTCATTGTTTTGCAGTTTTAGGGGTGCCTCATAAAATCAAGATGGGCAATGGTCTTGCCTATGTCTCTACCCATGCAATATTTTTTACACCAATGGGGGGTGTCCCATGTAACAGACATTCCCCACTCCCCAACAGGCCAGGCTATTATTGAACGTACCCACAGTCCCTTGAAAGCTATGTTGTTAAAACAAAAAAGGGGGAATCCCCTTTCACTACAGGAGTGTTTAGATAAAGCCACATGTACTTGATTTTTTCAATCGTTCTGGCACATGTCTGCTGACATCTGCAGTTGAGCATCAGTTTGGGCACGCTCCAAAGTTTACTGCTAGGCCCAAAGTCTGGTATCATGAACCAGGGAATCCTGAATGGAATTGTGGCATTCAGAATTTATAGTGCTTGTCTCGAACAATCCAAGAGATAAGCGATGAATTCTGGCACTCATCTGTTGTGTGTCTTGTGGCATCTGAGAAACAACATCTGTTGATGGACTAAAGAGATCTGCAGCTGGCTCTGGGAGCAGGACACTCCCCTGCAATAAATTAAACCTGTGGTGCCAGTGTTTTATCCTCCCCTTCGTTATGCAGAGACCTCAGCAATTATCCAAACAAAGACTATCTGCAGGACTTAACCCGGTGCCATACCTACCCCCCCCTCCTATCTCGGAGGAGCACAGAGAAGATAGGAGTTTTTCCCTACTCGGGAAAAAAAAGTGGGGGGGCAGTGGGCAAGAACTGTATAAAAGTCTGGGACTCTATGGGTGCAT